CCATTCAGCGAAACATGTTTCGCTGAATGGTGGCCGAGGGGCAAGCTAAAGTGCCGGCATGACTTTGAAGTGCCTGCTTGCCTTCTGCGCCGTCCCTCCTTCTGGTGTGTGAGGCTGCTCGGGGAGATTATTCATTTCTTGCGTTCAGACGCTTGCCTTAAAGCCCCCGCCGTCCCCCTCACCCAGCTATAGCGAGCGAGCACGCGCTTGGAGAGGCGGGCTCCGAGGCAAGCCCTCCGATCTTTATGCGGTGGGGAGATGAACCCTTCAGCTTGTCCTACCTCCCCTCCCCAAGCGGGTGCCCTCCTCCTCCTCCTCTCCTTCAAAGGCAAGAGGCAGGCAGGTTTTTTTTTCCCGGAACGGCTTGGTCCTGCCGCCATAGATTGGAGGGTGGGGGGAGGAGAATATAGAGGTCCTGCCCGCTTGCCTCACCGGCCGTGAACTTCACCGCACGTCACTGTATATAGCTATGAATTAGTGTTAAAGGCAGGAAACAAATTTAATAAACAAATAAAGTTTATTTTCTATTATCTGATCTTAATCTGACCACCTTCTTCTTCTTCTCCATTATACCTATCTCTATTTGTATGTAGTTGGAAAGAAAAGTTTTCTCTTAAGATCAAGTTGTTTGGATTTTGTTTTTCAGCTTACCTTTTGTAAGTCCTCAAAAGATTTTTCTGTCTCCTTTAGTTTTTCTAAGATGATCTGTTCTTTGGCAGATATTTGGGATTCTTCACATTCAAGCTTTCCTATTTCTTGTTCTAATCTGGAAAATATATTACAGAAAAATTTATTCATCTGGAACGATATGTCCAATCAAGAAGGCATACATTTGGCTTAGCTGCAAGATGTTATCTGAATATGCAAATGTATCCTGTTGTTTTCTTTAATATCAAATTATCAATGTAACTATTGGCAACTGAATAAATAAAGTGAGAATTATTAATTAGGTTACGATGCAATTCTCTCATTTTAATTCACTTTCAACTAAAGGTGGACTAGGAGTTTTTGTACCAGGAAAAGCGAGTCTTTCTTTTGCAGATGTCCCTCCAAAAATAGGAAGGAAAGGAAAGGAAAGTAAAAAGGGAGAAAGGAAAGGAATCATTGATACCCATTATGGACCACATTGGTTTACTTTAGAAATAAGAATATTAACAAGAAAATCAGTAAAATAAGTTTATTATAAGTACACTGTAATCTATATTTCAACTCAAAATGTAAACAAAACCTGCATTTGAACTGATATACAGCAATTCCTTTGGATTAATCTATTCTGGTTTGCAGATATTCTGGATGAGAACAAAATGTTACCTTTTTATTATATCCCCCCCCCCCATTTACTCAATATGGAGTTTTCTCTGATCACCATTTTATCCTGACAATTATGTAGGTTTATTTGAGAGAACACAAAAGGGTCACTGTGAATAAGGAAATAGCTATTCCCAATTATCTGGGAGATCAAGAAGGGACAGTTTTACCCTAAACCAGTGGTGGCTAACCTTTTTGCCGTCATGTGCCAAAAGCATATCCACACTCATAATGCAATGTGCACATAATCCCCCACCTCCACACACCCTGTGTTTGCGTGTGCAACCCCACCCACATATGCGTCCTGCCCTCCCTTGCTCATTTTTGGCTTCCAGGTTGGTGGAGGCTTTCCAGATGAAAAATGGGCACAGGGGCACCCCCACACCCAGTTTTGGCTTGGTTGGTGCAGGAGGCCTTTCAGGCCCAAAATGGGGCACCCTCGTGCCCCATTTTGGGCCCGGAAGGCCTTCTCCATCAACCTGGAAGCCAAAATGGGGCACAGGGGTGCTGCACAAGGCCCCAAAATGCAATGCAAGTTCCCCCACACATGCACATCCCCTGCATGTGCCCCAACCCCGCGCATGTGCGGCAGAGATCCAAAAACCAGCTGGCTGGCTGGAGGTGTGCACACATGCATGGTGGAGCTGGGCTAGGGCGACGGCTGAGGTGCCCACAGAGAGGGCTCTGCGTGCCACATGTTCACCATCACGGCCCTAAACAGCTCTGGGTTTGTTTTTTACATTCAAGGGCCTTCTCCAACCAGCTCTCCAAGAAAAAGAATTACAGAGCTATAGAGCAGCAGGAAAAGCTATTACAATCTCCAGTACAAAATTCCCTAACAGTGTTCTGAAACCCTTGAATCTTTATAATACTGGTTAAGGTCACAAGTCCCACCTACTCTTGTAGAGGCTACTAAAATCATTGACCAAGAGATGTGACTAGGTTACTAGATCGCCGGGTTAATTATGTGGAGGGAACAGAGCCAGAATGTGGTCCCTCTTAAGAAATCTCCTCATTCCAGTCAGACCAATTTTATTGTGAAGAATCTGAACTGTGTAACACTTTTGCATGGATAAAACATAGATTGAATATATTTATCATATGTCCGTTAATCTACTGATTAAAACTAAAATGCCCATGTTATAGTTTAACAAGTATCACCTATTTTGCTCATTAGCGTTAGCTGCCCTTTCTACATTTTCTTTTCTTTTTCTTATTTTACTTATTTCACTAACCTCCAACACTGCCGTTAATGATGTTTAGATGTTTCTTCAGATAATATTTGTACATCTGATTAAATTTATAACATGCAAATATTTTGATAGAGCAAATTAACAAAACATGTAAGAAGATTTAATTTTCATGGCAACCAGATTCTAAAAATGACATCTTCTGAAGTTTTGGAGCACTGTTATATGAAAAGAAAGATATCTATCTACAAAAATAGTACTTATTCCAAGAATTAACTGTCTCAAGTTATTTTAATAACAAGATGGGCAGTATATAAATTTAATTAATATTTTTTTTAAACTAGATTTTTTTTAAAAAAAGGAATGACTTTATAGCAATAGAAATAGCAATAGCAGTTAGACTTATATACCACTTCATAGGGCTTTCAGCCCTCTCTAAGCCGTTTACAGAGCCAGCACATTGCCCCCACAGTNCCAGGCCTGACGGGCTAGCCAGTTCTTGAGGGCTGTGCGGAAGGCCTGGACGGTGGTGAGGGTACGAATCTCCACGGGGAGTTCGTTCCAAAGGGACGATTATGCAAAAGAGTTTGTAAACCTAACTGTAATCATTATGCACTAACCGGCATATTTCTAATTGTCAGATTCTAACAACATCCACAACAAAGATGAAAATGTCATCCTTAACTCTCCTGCTTTCCAAGTTCTCACTTCTTCTGCCACCAGACTGATACTGCATAAACCAAAGGATAGCTATCAGCAGACAATACCATTCTGCTTTGAAGTCTGAGACTCACAACCTGTCTCCAGATTCTTGCTTCTCATGAATATTAGAGGTCTGTCATATGTCTAGCATCATATCTAGAACCATATCTTGATACATGGATAGAAAACAAAGTCAGTGGTCACAGCTCCTGCAGCTGCACTTGGCCAAGGCAAACAAGCAGTGGAGGATCAAAGGCACAAAAGTTACCTGCCTTTGTATCTATGGGTGTCTTATAAGTGTTTCAGGGTGACATGGCTTTGAGGCTACAGGTCCACCCGTAGGTTAATCCAGCTCCATGGGCACAGTGGGCAATGGGATGTTTGAAGGGGAGGGGGCAAAAGGTCAACTCAATGGCTAAAATAGATACAGATTAGCAGACAGGAACAGAGGGGTTCCCTTTTACTGCCCTATTCCTCCATGTTTTGCCAATACAAAGAACTACAGTACTTCCTAAAATAGATTCCTCCAGCTCATTCAACAGGAATCCACCTGCAGTGATAATCTAAGGTCTGAGAATGCAGTGGAGGCATCCAAAGCTGGTCTGGTATTAGCTCCTTTCAACTGATCAGGCAGGGAAGGGAATGGTGCCCTGCACAACTTCTTTGCTCCAGCCTGCAAACTTAGAAACTCTACCCTATTTCCGCCAGTCTTTTTTTTAAGGGGGGAGAGGGTCAGGCCCGGGAAGCAGACAGCGTGCGATGCGGAGAACTTTCTCGCGCGGGGAACTTAGCGCTCCTCGCGAGCCGGCCCGAAGACTCCTGAAAGGTAGCAGCTTGCCGAGCGGGCGGGGCAACCCACCACCACTTCGGGGAAAGGAAAGGGCCAGGGCTGCCTGGCTCGCGGGTAGGTCGAGAAGTTCGCGAGGCGGGGCTCCGCGTCGAAGCAGGCGGGCTGGGGAGTTTCACCCCGTCTAATTTCGCCGCGGGAGGCGAGCGCTGCGCCACAGAAGCCTCTTTCCTGATCGGGAGGTGGGAGCCTCCGCTGCGCCCCCCCCCCCTCTGCGAAGGAAGCGCGGGGCGCATGCTGGGGCGTGTGAGACCTGACACTTGGTCTCCGGCTGAACTTCTCCTAGGATGAGGTAAAGCTGGTGCTGCTTGGGCATGGCCAACTCGCTTGCCAATAACCCGCCCAAGTGGGGAACGAGGGCTCTTGAAGGACTTGGGGGACAGCGGCTGCTCAGGATAGGCGGTGGGCATTTTCGGGAACTTGTTGTCAATGCGAAACGCCTTTCTAAACAGACTCGCTTCGCTCTGCTCTGGCATGGCAATGCACCTCCCTCTTCTCCACTTTTACCTACAGTTTTGTTTGTTTTGCTTTGGGTGCATTTAATAGTCCGCTTTTTGGTACCGGGAGGCTGCCAGGACAAGTCCTTGGAGTTTTCTTGGCAAGGTTTCAGAAGTCGTTTTACCATTGCCAGCTCTCTCGGGCTGAGAGAGAGTGCCTGGCCCAAAGTGGCTTTGTGCCCAAGGCAAGCCTAGGACTCAGTGGTGAATTAAGGCTCACTGATGCCCTAAGCACTGACAAATCTTGGTGCTCCTCCTTTGTATATACTGTACAAATCTTTATTGAGTTGTTGTTTTCTCAGCTTTTTTGTGCCCCCTTGGGCCTGGTACCCTAAGCACGTGCTTAGTCTGCTTAACCAGTACAGCTGGCTGAAGAATTCTGGGAGTTAAAGTCCACAAGTCTTAAAGTTGCCAAATTTGGGGACCCCTGGCTTAATGGTTAATACACCAATTTTAGAACTCATGGTTTTCTGGTGTCTTAACCACTACACCAAACCGACTCTCACTCTGTCTCATGTTAATTCTTCTTTTTTTTTAATTCTATCTTTTTGAACGTTATGTTGCTACCTTCCCTCCCTCGATTTTTCACCTCAAGTGTTGGACTCGCGGCTTGATCCAGGTTCCTTTGAGAAGGAACCAGGGACTATAATTCAAGGTTGCACCTCTGAGCCCACCACCCCACTCCAACTCTGTCATTGGACAGCATTATAATAATAACTTTGAACGACTTTATAGGATTACCTGACTTGCTCGGGCAATGTCAGCAAAGTGTTTTAAATGCTGGCAACCCGCTTCTCCGTGAAAGTTTGAATATTAAGAAATGCTGGGTTCGCTGTTATTGACCAAACTATCTCCTAAGGTGCCTTGACACTGTATTGCTGTCTCCCTACTCTGCAATTGCAAAAGCTTCCCAAAAGCATTACTTGTGGGGCCAATTCAACACTATTCTTTATTATATTATTTTCCATTCATAGCATTATCTTTTCCCAGATACCTCCCCATCCCAAGAGCATCCTTTAAAAAGTTTTAAAGTTTCGTCATAATTGTAAAAAAGGAAGAAGAAGCTTTTATAGCCAAGTGAACCTCTTTTGTACTGCTTTAAAGCAAAAGAACCTGAAATTGTTGGTGGTTTTTACATATATAATATAAATTTGGAGACTACCCATCTTGCTCACAATGACTTTTGGTGACTTAATGGTTTTTAATGCATTTATAGTGGGTG